GTGTGGAGGCTGCGAGAAGCCCATGTGAACACTTGCAGTTTCATTGCAGTTCTTTCAGTGGAAAGAACTTAAAATACTCTTTCATTTCTGGTCCTACAGAAAATAATAATACATTATTCGCAAATACATTTATTTGCGTAAACTCACAATAACAAGAAAACGTTGTGCTTTAACAAACAGGCGCGCTTCATGATCTCCGTGAACTGAAGCGCGAGAACTGAAACAGCCACCGCATTCGAATTTGTTTGTTTTAAATTTGACATTTAAAGCTTTAGTGCGAGTAGACTAAAGCTTTAAATGTCCAATTTAAAACGAAAAAATTCAAATCAAAAGCCAATATCTTCTGACTATGTAATTATGTAGCCTAGCTAATTATGTATTTCTCTCTAAAGGTGCATCCGGGGATGGAGATTTGTTTTTAGCAGAAACTGATTTAGAAAACAATAGTTTATTAATAAACAATTAATGCCTCGTTATTTTATATTATTTTATTATCAGACACATTTATTATATCTTATAAATCATCTATGAACGAATGAACACAAAAGTACACTGACTGTTTGGACATATACGAGGCAGAGTTCTTTTTTAAAATTCATAAAAGATACAAGTAATAGCCTACTAGACAAAACATCAAAGAAATGCCACAATCAAGACCGCGGAGCAGAAATGAGGGAGAAACACACAAAAACTATGTGACTTTCCCTGCCATTGATGCTTGGATGACACACCACGTCTCCTTCCATAAATAATAATAATAATGTCTAGTGCGGTGGCTGTGATATAGCAACTTCCGTTGCCATTATTTTTGGAATGGCTTGTTGCGAAAGGAAAAAAAAATGTTTTAGTCGCATAACACCGTTAATAGAAACGCTGTCATTTCACAATATTTTTTTATCGACAATCAGAAAAAAAAAACCCGCAAAAGTTTTGTGCAAATATGTATTGTCGATGCAATTTTAAACAGTTAATATCTTAACCGGTTAACCATGGACACCCCTACGGATAGTGAGGAGCTCCTGGTCTCTGCTTCGCTCCAGTTTGCAGGTATTTGTTCGTCCTTTCTTTGTTGATGACGAACACAAACTTTCTTCTAAGAGCAACAGAGTCGCGCAATGGCATGAGCGTCATCACTATGACACACCCTTTACGGCATTGGTCCTGGCTTTTGTTCACACAGCGCGTGTGTTTGCGTTCACACAGAAGGCGTTCTGGCAATTTCCCGGCAATTTCCTGGGATCAACTCGCTGTGTGAAAGGGGCTACAGAGACATGTAGGCTCAGAGTGAGCATGACCATATTCAAACAAAAATATCTGACTTTCTGTGGGTCCTAGCTAATAAGTGTAAATTAGAAAGTTGTCCAGCTCGAGGAGTACAATATACATACCAATTTTTGTAACTCTAGTTAAAACTAACAACCACACTTTTGTCAAAAGGTGGCGCTACTGAGCCCTCACCACGCCCGTTTCTGAAACTTTCATTATACGGATGAAGTTTGAAGCAAATCGGGTAAAAATAAGAGGGTGATTTCAAAGCATTTTGAAAGTGACACTTCCTGCTGCTAGTTGGTGGCGCTATAACTTTGACTCACAATAGTCACATCCATGTGATCGGCCCCTTAGGTTTATAGGTTTATTTGTTTAGCACGTTTAGTACAAGTACAGAACAATGCTAGGAGGGAACGAAGCCAGACTAGGCTTGTACAGAGTTCCACTCCTATTCCTATTAACTCACGAGATATGCAGACTAAGCATCACAGAAGAAAAAAAGAAGAAGAACAACAAAAAACAAAACCCAAAACAAAAGATGAAAAATAAAAATAAACAACAAATGATAGAAAGCAATTCAATACAAACAAATGTGCTCAGAAAAGAAAAGAGAGGAAAAAAAATATATAATAATAATAAAATAAATAAAAAACTACAACATAAAAAGGCATCAAGCTAGCGATAGTAAACTCTTCAAATGCTTTGTAAAAGCTGAATATAAGGACATTGATTGCAACGATGGACTTAACTCACTCCAAAGCTTAGGACCTCTAAAAGAAATATTAAATTGGTGTCTTGTGGTACGTGCGATTGGTAAGACAAAGTTATTATTGCTATGTCTAGTGTGCAATGAATGAACATGTGAGATAGGAATAAACAAATTCTGGAAAGAGTCTGGTAGATCTTGTTTCCTATAAATAAGGTAAATATTTATCAAACATGCTTACTTATGCATAAGTTTATCAATAGGGAGAACTTTAAATTTATTAAAAAGAGGGACCGAAGGTGCATATCTGTTTGAATCGGAAATAAATCTAAGATACTTTTCTGTATAACTAATAATTTATTAAGGTGGGTAGGATATGTAGCTGCCCAAACAATGTTACAATAATTAATAAATGGAAACAAAAAACTATAATATAAGGTTAAAAATGCTGAGGAATGAACCAAAGGACAAAACCCCCTCAATATACCCAACATTTTAGCTGACCTCTTAGAAACAAAATTAATATAATTAGACCAATTAAGACCACTATCAATAATGACTCCTAAAAACCAGGTATGCTAAACCAATTCGATTTGAGTATTATTAATGTAGATCTTAGATAATTCAATAGGGTAATGTTTGTGAGTATTACAAAAAATCATAAAGTTGCATTTTTTTATATTGAGAGTAAGTTTGTTCGATTGAATCCATTCCACAATATATGATAGTTCCTCGTTAACCATTTTTATTAGAATATTGAAGTCATGGTGCGAAGCTACAAGATTTGTATCATCAGCGAATAGAACTGGGAGGAGTTTAGTACAAGTCATAGGCATATCATTAATGTAAATTAAAAATAAAAGAGGCCCTAGAATTGATCCTTGAGGGACCCCAATCTTAATTTGTGACTTCATAGAATCATAGTCTTCCAGATTAACATATTGCTCTCTATTAGCTAAGTAGCTTCTAAACCATCTCAAGGCAACATCCTTCACTCCATATCTACTAAGTTTAGCAATCAAGATATTGTGACTAACCGTATCAAATGCTTTACTCAAGTCCAGGAAGACTCCAAGAGCATATTTTTTATTATCAAGAGCTGAAGAAATATAGTTTACAAGTTGAATAAGGGCATGCTCAGTCGTCGCTTCCGAAAACCATATTGATGTTTATATAAAATATTATTAGCATCCAAGTGATTAAATAATCTCGAATAGACAAGTCTTTCTAAGATTTTCGATATACACGGGAGAATTGATATTGGCCTGTAATTACTAAAATCCTTCGAGTCACCGGTCTTAAAAATTCTGTATAACCCTAGCAACCTTCAAATTTTGAGGAACAATTCCAGTTCTCAGAGACAGAGAAAGAATATGAGTAAGAGGTTTGATAATGTAGTCAATTGTCTCTTTAATAAGAACACTTTTAATACCGTCATGACCATGGGCTGCATTTTTAAGTGATAAAATAATATTCTGAACCTCTTGAACTGTTGGTGGGTCAAGATTACAATGAATACACTGCTGAAGTTTTATCAAGATCAAATAATGTATAAAGAAGTTATAACACACTTCTTGTTTCACGTTTCTCGCCATAATTTGGTTTCTAAAAAAATAGGGATGTCCCGATCCGATACTCAGGAACGGTATTGGCTTCGATCCAGCCATTTTTGCGGGATCGGGTATCGATCAGACGAGGCCGATCCAAATCCGATACTGTGCGTATACTATTTATGTTATTGTTAAGCCCCACAGAAGACACAAAAACATTCTAAAGTACCATAACGTTTTCGTGCACTCTATTATAAGTATTCTGAAGCCATTATGTGAGAGATAAATTAATATTTAAGTCATTAAATTCAAGATCACGTAAACTTTTCCCTCTCGCGGCTGTCAGTCATTCTCCATTCAGCACTCAAACAGCGTTCGGTTACAGTAAATTATGAAACTATCTTCAAGATGATTCAATGTTAATACTATTATACTTTATCTGTAGATAAAGGTCTATGTTTTCGCATAAAACAACATTATCTTGTTGGACTTTATTGCTGTAACTTAATCGTGTTACTTTCTACCAGGTGTCGGACGCTGTCGGTTAGATCACAACACTAGAGTCAGCACTATTGCTCTTCACGCGCACAGTAACTGAAATTTAAAAATGTTTAAAGAAAAGGCTCAATAAACTATTGTATAGATAGATGCTGTTTAATACACGGTCCATCAATATGTATTTCCTTTGTGCTTAGAATTTTTCAAAGCGGACTCGACGCGCAGCGTGCATACCATAGAGACATTTCGACATTTCATGAAGGTTATTTTAGAGGTGTGTCTAGCGATCCACATACTCTTTTGAATGTCTTTAAGAACTTTTCAGGCTGCGGCGTGGGCCAGATATTATTGCTGGCGGGCCAATTTCGAGCCGCCTGTTGCGGACCCCTGTACTAAAAGGAAGAGCGTATATTTACATTCAAACTGTTTTAAGGCGTGCAGAATATTTTTTTCAAGGAAAAAAAAAGTTTTAATATGTAATTTTAACAACATTCGCAGCACGGATTAGACATACAGTTCATATCTGGACTGGAGGGAGCACATTTAAGTCATGGATATTTTATATATACACTAACAGCTGTAAATGGAGAATTTAAAATGTAAATATTAGTATTGAAATTTTTCATTCTCTCTCCACCTATTATCACATTTATTACGTTTCGCTTTAATGACTGCATTTTTCTTTTATTCATCATTGTACCACCTGATACTGGTGACAATTGAACACTAAAAATTCCCTGTACTGCTGTAATCTTTTCAAAAGTGAACAGGCATACCATTTCTATGCAATAGTTGTTTATACCTGGTTATCTCTTTGAAGGGAGGATGCATCTACAGCCTGCCTCCTGAGCAAAAGGGGGGACAGCATTAATGATTGCTTTCACCAATATCTGTAGTTTGAGAGAGGCAACAACACATTACACTTGATCAAACAGTAAACAACTGCAACAGTAACAAGGATCAAAAAAAGTTTAAGAATTTGTATCTGAGCTGGTGATTGGCTGGGCAATTGAAAGTAGCAGCCAATGAATAAGCAGAGAGTTACTCTGCGAGTACTATAGCACACCAGGACAATGAGCAACATCAGGATGTGACTCTAGTCTCGCTCTTTAGACATAACTTTTCAAAAAGTAAGTTTAATTTATATCTGAAAAAAAATAAACAACTGCCTTCAGTCTGTCAACATACCCACCTCTCCTGTAAGGAGTTAGATGATCTGGAATGCATTCTTGATGTGTACGGTAAACAGCTACAGTTCTTTGGGTCACGCATCAGAGTCTGTCATCTGCCCCACTATAGGGCACCAGGCCTTATAGAAACGTGGGAGTAGCGACAGCCAGAATGGGGAAGGTACTTGGCATACTTTAACAGTGATGTAATCCTAAATGAGGAGAAGAAAAACGATTTGAACCAAGGGAAGAAACAGGAGTTGCTACGGACAACAAAGCAAGGCTCAGGAAAATACAGAGAAACTCAAGCGTCCTAACGAGGTGTGACATGACAAAATGGTCATCATCACCACCACCACACACACACAAAAAAAAAATAATAATCCAAGCATTTTTTTTATCCAACACTAAAATTTTGCAATTTTTTGCAAAATTTCTGTGAAAATTGTTTCAAAGCCAACATTTTTCAGTGTAATCAACCAAAACTCAAACAACTGCTGCTAAAAACTTACAGCATTACACCTGGTTAAAATTAAATTCTATTTCAAATCTCAAGTCTAAGAAACTGTACAAAAACAGAAAAATGACAAGCATGTTTCTGAGCTGGTGATTGGCTGGGCAGTGGAAAGCAGCAGCCAATGAATAAGCAGAGAGTTACTATGCGAGTACTATAGCACACCAGGACAATGAACAATATCAGGATGTGACTCTAGTCTCGCTTTGCATCAAAAAGTAGTATGATCACAAACATACAAATTAGAATAAACTGAAGACAAGCAATTAATTTTCTTAATACATTATAACTAAGGCTGCAGCTATCGATTATTTTTGTAATCGATTAATCTAGCACTTAATTGATCGATTAATCGAGTAATCGGATAATTTGTTTGTGTTTAAGCAACCAAAACAAATAATGTATTACGAAAATGATAAGGTGTTTGGCTTTTATTTCTTTAAAAAAATAGAGGTATTTATTCCAACTCTAACATTTGGCTCCAGAACTAATTATTGCAATTTTTACCCATTTAGTGTTTATAAGTGCCAGTGCCAACAATTATATAACAATACAGTTAAAACAATTTACTGTAAAACCTGTTACATGTAGCCCATAACATGTAAAACTTTAAATACCAACTTAAATAGTAAAGCCCATTTGGCCTTGTCTTCTCAATACAACATTACAAAAAAAGGATTGCACCTTCTGCAAATTACCCACCTGGAAACAAAATAAATTAATATAAAATATCAACCCAAACAGGTACACAAATGTATACAATTTATTTAAAAAAAAATAAATGGAAATAAAACAATTATAAATAAGAATCAGACTTTTTCAACTGTAATCTCAAGACAAACATCAGAGTGCGTGTCTCACAATATTTGTTCCATCACGTCCCGGTGAATGTATGCTGAAATTTTTGTTCAACTACATAAAAGTTTAAGCATATGATGAATTGCCGCAATTGGTCCGACTGGCGCGTGAGAGAGACATGGGTGCACACGCTCGCTTACCTCTCTGCCGTCGTGCGCGAGCCGCGGTCAGGAGCTCAACATCTCAGATGTGCGCTCGCACTAGATTACAAGATATTTTAACTTGCGAATTAATATGCGGCTAAAACTAGTCGATCACGAGTGGCTCAACAGGTAGATCTATAGACAAACTCATCTTTCAGGCATTTGACCGAAGGGATTGACACTTCAGCCTGAGAAATCGAATTGCGCGAGAGTTGGCAGCCCTGCCAGGTATACTTTACAGACACATTGCATCTTGTTCTCTCCCTTTATAAACATATAATGATCCCAAACTTTAGACATTCTCTGCCATTTATGAAGTCAAATGTATCATGCGCTATGGTGTGCTTCCTGAACAACGGTCCGTGTGAAACAATCAGATCCCTGCATGCGCGTAGGGTGCGCGTGCGTCATAGGATTTTAACGAGGCTTCGAGGCAGATTTTTTTGCCTCGAAGAAATTTTTGTAATCGAGTAACTCGAGGAATCGTTTCAGCCCTAATTATAACTGTGTAGTCTGTAGCATTGGGGCGTTTTCTGCGCTGAACACCACAAAAAAACGTAACATATGCAGCACACAGAACAGTTCATAATTATACAGACCTGAGTGAGCGTGTTTCAAGTTATGGATACATTTCATATAATCTTTAACATCTGTAAATAAAGAAATTCAAATCCAAATATTAGTATTTAAATATTAAAGTTGTACTAATTTTTTTTTAATTCTCGATTTCTGTCATATCAATCTTTTGATTAACATCAAGCTTACAGTAATGTCAATTGTTTTCTAATCTTAAGATTAGAAATATTAGGGATGCACCGAAATGAAAATTCTTGGCCGAAACCGAAAACCGAAAAAGAGGAAACCAAGGCCGAAAACCGATAACCGAAACACCGAAAGAATTATTAGTATCATTCCATTTATGGCTATGACTGTGTACAAACTTTACTAAAATCAAGGCATTGCAATAATGCAATTGCATATTAATTTCATATTTTCAAAGAATAAATCAATTACAAATTATGCAAATATTTATTTAGCACAATGCACAGTATAAAATAAAATTCTAACTAAAATGTTTAACTTGACCCCACTCATGTGTACACTAAATAATAATCTACTGGCCTGCAGAAAGGTTTTAAAATGAAACGTTCTCTCAAAAACAAAGCCGAGCGAGCGCAAACTTCTCAAACCAGGACCCAGTTTGCATGTCTAAATTAGTTACATTTTAAAAATTTGGCATACAATAGCATAAAAAGCATTTTTAAATGAACAATAGTCCATGTTAAATACAAATGTACATGAAACTTAATGAAACATGTTTAGTGAATGTATTTAAATATTTAAGAGAGCATTAATTTAGTTCTATACATATATATACATAGTTCCCAATCCCATATACATATTTTTTGTAATGTCACAAGTAATAATCTCAGGGTTTACTGGATTTTACATGATTATTTTTGTATTGGTGGTGGAATAGCCTACTAAAAAATAAGCACTGTCATGTGTTTATCTTTCTTCTTCTCACCGATTCCTGATGGTTAGAGGACAGTTACTTGAGTCGTCCCCTGTAGTTTCAAGGAATAGTAAAACGGAGAGCGCTCCAAGTATAAACGCCTCGACCGTTTGGAGCGGTGCGCGCGCTGTCTGTGGAGACTCACGCTGCCTTGTTTACTTTCGCCTGCCTCCGCAGCGCGAGTCTCCACAGACAGCGCGCGCACCGCCCTTGACCCGCTCGCAACCGGAATCGTCGTCATGGCGGCGCGCGTTGTTTAGAGCATAGGTGGATAAACAAGGTTTCCGTCTCCTCGCGGGTTCAGATACACTGAAATGCGTCCGCACCGCAGACACGTTGCTTCAGACAAGCACGTGCAGGTCGCGGTTTCTGTTTGCGTCATCACAACATTTCGGCCGTATTGTTTCGGTGATAAAAGTCTTTCGGCCGAAAACCGAAAATGCACTTTTGGGCCATTTTCGGCCGAAAATTTTCGGCGACCGAATATTCGGTGCATCCCTAAGAAATATTAAGATTAGTGGGTCTTGAGATAGATCGATATAAGTGCAAAACCACAATAATGCCTACATATTTAAATTCTCTCTCCACCTATGGTCGCACATTTTATTACGTTTCGCTTTAATGACTGCATTGTTCTTTCATTCAGCATAGTACCATCTGATACTGGTGACAATTAAACTAAGAATTCCCTGTAATGCTATAATCTTCAAAAGTGAACAGGTATTCCATTTCAATGCAATAGTTGTTTATACCTGGTTGTCTATGTGAAGAGAGGATGCATCTACAACCTGCCTCCTTAGCAATACGGGGGATGCTATTAATGATCGCTTTCACCAACATCTGTAGCTTGAGAGAGGCAACACATTACACTTGATCAAGCATTGAACTGCAAGGATAAAAAAAAAAGTTTAAGAATTTGAAGCCACATCTGTTAGTCTCGCTCTTTAGACATAACTTTTAAAAAAGTAAGTTTAATTTATATCTGAAAAAATGAACTAATTTCAGTCTGTCAACATACCCAACTCTCCTGTAAGGAGTTTGATGATCTGGAATGCATTCTTGAGGTGTACGGTCAACGGCTACAGTTATTAGGGCCACGCATCAGAGTCTGTCATCTGCCCCACTATGGGGCACCAGGCCTTATAGAAACGTGGGAGTAGTGACAGCCAGAATGGGGAAGGTACTTGGCATACTTTCACAGTGATGTAATCCTAAATGAGGAGAAGAAAAAACTATTTGATCCAAGGGAAGAAACAGTAGTCGCTACAGACAACAAAGCAAGGCTGAGAAAAAAATGAAAGTATGAAAAAGTTATGGAAGTTAAAACTTACAGTAAATCAAATATACGGATTATTTTATTTCTTTTTTATAAAGTATGAACTTAATTTACAAAATATTAAAAGGTGCAAAACGCAAGTATCTGAGTTTTTGCCGAACTACGCCCCTTGTGGTGACAAGCAAAACTGCGTGCGTGCTCATGGAACACACACATAAGCGCATGTTTGCACGAGCTGTTCATAACCAAAGGAGCATCAGCACACATCTTTTGTTACAGTCATAATGATGTAGTAAAGTTATAAATCTGCAAGTCATTTAAAATATATTAAAGGAAAGGCATTCGAGTAAATTACACACTTGTGTGTGTGTGTGTGTGTGTGTGTGTGAGGGGAAAACAGTGGTAGTAGAAAACTTCGTTTTTTGTTTCCATCGATCTCCACGTTGAACTGTTTTATGTGCTTACTGTATCAATTATGATTGTATTATTATGGAAACACGTTCATGAACAATACAAGGCATTACTTTGTATAGCTATAGGACCCGTTTGAGCCCTAGAGCCTACCGGAGATCTCCATTTGTTGAAAGCTTCCCGATGTTGACTCTCTCGTCTTATTCAGACGCCTGGCACTGGACAGACAGAAGTTTTATTTTCTTTGTCTTACGTGGAGTTTGCGTTGGGGTTTGGAATGAACTACAAGCCGGTCTCTTTGGGGCTGTTTACACCTGGCCACTTCATGCGTTTTCTCAGATTGGATAGATTTGATTTATTAAAACGATTCCATTACACCTGGGGCTCGTTCTTCGTACCTCGCTAACTCAGTTAGCTGGATTTGATTGTTGGCGATTTGGCATGATCTTGGATCGTTTGGTTCTTCGACGCTCATCCTGGACTTGCTGTCATAGCAACAGGTCCGTCAGCTTGAACCTGCTCGCGAGCAGGCTTATTTCATGTAAACAGAATTAGATCGCGGCTGATACGGGAAGTCCTTTAGCGCAGCGCGATAATGTAGCCTAATTTCTGAGATTATTTTTTTTTCTCGTGAAACGATCGTCGCGAGGGTGTCGTTTATACTTTATTTTGTTGGAAATGCACATTAATGTTCGATTCGATGCCGGGCTTCAACAACAAAAATGTTTGCATCACCCTAAAATTCTTTGCGAGTGGCTTCCTTTACACTATTGGAGATGCGGAGAAGCTTTCTGTCATGCCATTCGCAAAGTTTACCTAGCGCTCTTAGTTTTTTTTTATTTTTTTTTATTTTGGCCAACTTGGGGTATAATATAATTTTTAATGAAGATAATGCAATGATGACGGTGCCGATTATGACTTACAGTTCCTCAGGCAGGCTTAACTTACGTGATTGGTGCCATACACTGTAGACTGCACACACGTTCCCCTCAATGAAGGGAT